TATCCGCGAAGAGACACTGTGTCTACGAAAGAGAACAAGGCAATCGCAGAGAAAACGCTAGACAGGCGTGTGGTCCTTACTAGCATATAGCTAAGTAATGCAGTGAAAGGGGCGGTGGTTGGTCTTGGTGGGCGGCGCCCGACCTTTGCGGCACATCTCTAGCGTTCCTAGCAAGTACGTTCAAGTCGCGAACATGACACAACCATTGTGGTTCACACCATTTTATGCAGCGGTCCGCCGATTGGCGCCAAAGCCACCCATAGTTGCGATTCAGGCGTTCGAGTCGCGAAGTATGAACGCGCTCCCAGCACCGGTGTAGCTTTGCGCATCAGATGATCACGAACTCTGTCTCTTTAAGACAGGTACAATCGAGTGTGTTTGTGCAGATGAACTTATGTTTGTGCTCTAGACTAGGGGGATAATATTTTGTTTCTAATTTCTGTTTTGAGAATTTCGAAGTCTCGCCACAACGTGACATAGCCATTTTTCTCGTGAAGCTACTGTAGACCTTTTCCATCGAGCCTGAGCTTTTTCATTGTGGTGTAATTATGCGTATTCCAGGTGTAGTAATTCCGATGTAAACTAATTCGGATTGGAAAAACGTCGTTTCATCACTTGGTAGGGATGATTTCACGATCATCTCAATTGTATACTGTACTCGGTATTGCTTTATTTTTTGGAACATTCGGATTTAGTGGATTATTCGTCTTTCTTATTTGCATATTATGCTTCGTATGCGGGTGAGTGGCTCAATTATTTTGCTTTCCGAGCTTTATTTACTCACACCCACTTACGAATTGTGGAGCCTCGTTATAGTACTGTCAAAGGCGCTAGCCCGCTGTAGGTCTGCGTTGTGAGGCAGGAATGGTAATGCCAATTGTTAGGCTGCGTTCATACTTTGCGTCAGCATTCAGAGCGAACAGGAAAGTTTCCGTATCGATCTAGAGTTTTCGGCGTATGCTAGCGTTTCGAGAGCGTGTCCACACTTCGCGATCGCGCAGTGTGAAAGTGCTCTGAGCGTTTTGCTTCTGTTTTGATGATTTCGAGTTCAGCCACTGAAAACGCTGGCGTGTTAGAACGGTGCCTTAACATTCTAGCCGCTCAAAACGCTGACGCTAAGTATGAACGCAGCCAAAGGGCTAATCATGAGAATGCGCGTCAACGGAGTAGCTGGGAATCGATCAACTCTGGTAGCTAGCGAATTGCGAGACTTAGAGAATAGGATTTTTCCTAGCGAAAAGATTTTCTCCTACTCTGCTGTGCGGCAAGGAATTTGCGCGGCCCAGCTGTTCGTATATGGTGTACATATTGGTTTTCAGGTTTTGCTATGTTATTTATACTCGTGGAGAGGAGAAATCAAAGGAGCTGGCCTCCGATTTCACAAACCTCAAGGATTTCAAATTTTCACCGGGTATTGGCACGTTTCTCAAAAATAAGAATCGTTTCAATGATAAATCTATGTATGAACAAATTCACTCGATGACAAATTGCTCGTCAATGGATGCTGTCCTCGAACAGGTACGGAATGAAACGCACATTTCCTTTTACTTTTTATGCATTTTCAATTTATATAGCGGTACAAAGCGCTCCCTTCCTTTTTTCTGTTGAAACAGGTTTGTTGACAGAAAACTGTACCGGCTGTGGAATTTGAAAGGAAGGATTGTTTTCAAGTGTCGATTATCGTGATTTGGTGGCAATTTCAATGATTACTCAGCTAACGGTTGACGAACGAGATCGATATTCAGTTAAATTTTTAGGGGTGGGCCTTTGAAAGGCATGGGTGGGGTTTTGAAAGCGGAGAAAAACATTTTCGAGAGTTTGAAAAGGTTTTTGGTCCGATTTTAAATTGGTTCGGATTGTCCCTTCTGTGAAAAAAAAATCCGAGCAGGGTCTTTGGGTATGGTGCGTAGGCGCCCATGATGAAGGGCGTATCGGAAAAGCAGATGGAAAACCTGTGGGCTCGCGATGAAGGCGATGCGGCTGTGTATACATGGGATTACCATGTGGTGTTGAGGGCAGAGCACAACACCCGTTGTGAAAGGTATAACGAAGGGGTCGTAATTTGGACGTTGGGAGGAGCGTCGTAATAGCCTTTCGAAGGTTTTTTCCTTGATAGTGGTTGTTTTCCGTCTTAGGCGCCCATCATTGGACAGATTCCCAGTGGGGTCGTATTTTGCCCGACGAGCTAGGGGTTTCGTGGAAGCGTTCTCATGCTGTGAGGAAAACTTTCTTTTGGTTCTGTTGATTTTTCCCGTTTTCTCCTGTGCACCACACCCTTCTCCCCCTACTGCTCGACGATACTGTTTTGACATGTGAAGTGAGTGGGAGAAATGAAGGAAGGGGTCTTATTTATCCGAGTCTAACGAATTGCGATTCTGTACCCTGGTTCAGGGGCAGATGTGGTTTAGTGACAAGTGAGACTAGTCCCACGTCAAACCTTAGATCGGCTTTTATCCTGGCCTATCCTGGCGTGCCGAACCTTCCGTCCATTGATGATTTTTGCGAGGATCGGCCGGGGAAGATGAAAACCTTGAAATGTACTTAGTTCAACCGCATAGGACATTCAGGATTCAAAAAGACCCTACGGTTCTCTGTGTAGTTCTTATACATGACGAAACTATTGAAATGCTTTCATACTTTGCGCCCGGATTTTGAGCGTCTGCCAGGGTTTTGAGCGTTTCGCGGATGGTTTTGAACTTGTTGAGGCAGCTGCTGAAAACGCTGACGCGAAGTATGAACGCACTCGTAAGTGGTAAGTTTATCCTTTACTTTATATTATTCAGATGTTATCTTTTGTAATGCGTGACTATGTCGATTCATGGTACAAGAAATTGACAGATGACGAGCTTTTTAAAGAAAGTCTAAGGAGAACAGCACGACGTTCAGTTGCGTCTCTTTCACAATGGTATGATCTTCCAATTGTTAAGCGTTTCCTTATGCTGGCTGCTTTCTGTATTGCGTGTTTCAGCATGCGCCAAGTGGATTGGGTCCCATTCGTTACACGCCATGTCGTCGACGATTTCGCCTCCCATTTGAGGTTATATCGAATGGCAAGCGACAAATTTAAGTTCATAGGAAAGAAAGGTAGCCTTCTCTTCTCAATTTAGTGAGATCAACTGCGTTCGGCGACGTTTAGAGTGGTTCATTTGC